CAATGGGGAAAGAGTCTGCTCAATAGAAGATATTTCCCCATCCTAAAAAATGAGAAATTTGTGACTTAATGACAGAGAGTGTTTTGGGTTATAGATATAGATGTCTCTATCCAGATATATCTTCTACTATTAAACAGCAAAACACAACATAGTAATAATCGGCTAAGTATTTCCACAAATATTTCACCAAAGAAGATATTCAAATGTCTTTGAAGAGATGTTAAAAGTCAATAGCTAGTTTTGCTGTTGTTAGATGCTCCAGAGTTAATCCGATTATTCCTATGTGACCTAGGCAAATGCCCATGGGATTTTTTTTCCCCTTGGGTGTAATCTTTGTGAATGAATATCATTTACTAATTCTTTATCCTGAGAAGTTTCTGGATTAGTTAAAATAGACAATATTTCAGTAAGTGGCCAAGAAACTACGATGGTGCTATCTGACCTCCTTCACTAGCATTGGGCTAAGCTGTTTACTGTCTCTGTGCTCTTATTTGGAGACATGATTCACTTAATCTCTTTTGTACTTGCTCTGTCACACATTCCTCCTCCCTCCTTTGAATCTCTTCTGGCCAATTCTTCCTTCGAGATTGACCAGAAATAAATAGATATTCTCCAAAAATTCAGAAGTGAGAATAATCATATTCATGACTAGAATTATTCTTAGATAATGAAGGGAAAGTCAATATGACACTCCCATGCATTCTTTCATCCTGTAGAGGTACCACTCCAAATAATTATGCTTCTGCTCCTGAGAAGTTCATATGCCCTCCATAAACTGTGATCCCACGTGCTCCTTCCCCACTAGACCAGCAGTCCACACAGGAAGAGGAAGGCCATCAGTGATGGCTACAGCAGGATCTCACCTCCATCATATCATACAGGATCCCTGTTAAGTGTTGGAACAACAAGAGTCAAGGAATCAATATGAAAATGAGACTTGGGGGGCAGTTTAAAACAGACAGTGAGAAAGATGTTCCTGAGAGATGAAAGCTCACAGCTGCTGGTGCTCAACTGCCTAGAGGTTGAAGTCTAGGCAGGTGCTGTCTATGGAAACTCAGCCACTGTGTCCTCTCTGGGTCTGGTGCACACAGGCCTGTGTGGTCCCTGCAGGTGCTTCACCCAAAGACCCATGCAGGACAACTAGAGAATCACAACCAGGCAGCCTGTCTAAAGGTCCTACTCAGTATAGAAGCCACTGTCGAGGATGAATGAGTCAGGAACTGAGAGGATGGGGACTAGCCAAGGAAGCTCTCCTTCCTAAACTCATACGGGCGGGATAACAGTAGCCTGGCACATCTCAACTCTAGACCTGGATCCAAGGGAGGATCTATGGCCTGGCTCTCTCTTCTCCCCATTCTCCTCTCCCACTGCACAGGTAGGAGCAGATCTCAAGACCTCAAGGCAGATGTACTGGTTGTGTCAGTCCCTTCTGATTGGAACCTAGTAAACAAAATCTCAGTCCTCCCACATCACTCAAGAATATGTGGTATACATCAG